TGGTTTTGAGCTCTTTACGTGGGAAGGAACTTTGTGACGTGAAGCTCTTTTATCTGTTTAGTGTTAGTGGCACATCTCGGCTGTCATGCTCACCATCATACAGCACTTTACATTCGATCAGTTTTCATACGTGGCGTGATCACAGGAGAGAATGGCAGGTTATTTTAGAGTCGGAGCACACAGGTCCTCAACGGCAGTACCATGATACGCGCCCGCTTATAGGGCTATCTTTGGGCACACCTCCACCTAGATTTTATCTAGCTTTGATTTAAACTGGGACAATTTTGGTGCCCAGACCACCACCTGAGACAGCTTATTCCAGGGGTTGATTACTCTATTGGCAAAGAACATTTCTCTGATGTTTTTATTTGCCCTTGCTTTCATCAATTTCCACTCATGGCCCCTGAGAGCCAAATCTACATTGCATTTGATGAGAGCCCTGCTCGTGACCGAGCTCCTTTTTAGTTGCTTATAGGCCTCGATCAATTCTTCACGTAGTATCCTCCGTTGTAAGGAGAATAAGTTAAGGTTCATTAGCCTATCTTTATATGTCAACCCTCTCATACCAGCTAACAGGCGTGTAAACCGGCGTTGTACTCGTTCTAGAGTTTGGCAGTCCTGAACCAGGTTTGGGGCCCAGGACTGATCGCAATACTCAAGATGCGGTCGTACCAAGGTTTTGTAAAGTGGAATCAGCACCTTTGCATCTGTTGAGGCTACTGTCCGTAATAGTTGAAACAGTGCCCGATTTGCCCTCGTTGCAGCAGCAATTCATTGTCCGGAAGTTTTGAAGTTCTGGTTGACTTGGACTCTGAGGTCATGCCTGCCATGATCGTGCACAGCATGAATGTTGTAATCCGAGAAGTATACCATTATTATTATTAATAAATATATAAATATAGCATTTTCTTTTATGTTAAGTGTGTTTCCTGTTGGAAAATGGGAATTCTTGCCAACGAGATACGTTCTGAGTTAGAAAAAATCATTACAACACGATCCAAACAGGAAATAACTTTCAAAATTCAACTGCACAGTGAAGCTTCAAATTGAAAATAAATATTAAGATTAATTAGGAAATAAACAAAATGCTAAAGTTCAAAGTTTCCAACAATAAAATAAATATTGGAGAAGTAGCGGTAATGGACCTTATGTTCATGAACATTATATGCATATAATTTTTTGAATGCCCTAAAAATATCATGGTTTCCCGAAAAATGCGTTAACGCATTTGTTTCAAAATCATAAGAAGTACAAATGCAATAATACTAANAAATTGGATGTAATTTGGAAAGGGCATACTGATAGCCGTAGTGGTATCCTCATACGCTTACTAAAAATAGTTTTGTATAAGAACCTCATGGTGAATGTATCGAAAGATGAATATATTTATATATATACATGCCTATATATACTAGTGCTTGTAAATAGTTAAATATATATCTGTCCCTCTATATATATATAGTTATAGACAAGTATATATATCTTTACCTGTCTATATATAATATATAAAGATACATACATAGATATCGTTATCGCGGTCCTATTTTTCGGACTTGCGAACCACAGCAAACAATGCACTCACCTCTATCGAAGGCTCTCCCTAGCCTAATAAGGGGGGAGCTCTGTACCGACCAACCAAATCCCATTATACATGTACCCTTCCTCCTTTGCATCTCATTGTTTTATCACATGAAGGCCACCTCTCTGGTAAGCACGTGTTGGTTTTCAAATTCCTCATGCTTGCTCACGCTTCCGTATCCATCGCTTGCTCTGTATGTCGTAAAAGTACAAGCCGTCCTCCATATCGTGAACCGCCTCGTTCTGTTTTCGCGCGAGATTTCCGTTTCCGGCCTATAGGTATTAACTTGGGTTATCGGTAACCTAGTGCCTACAAACTGGTAAGCCCTCAAATTATTTTATTTACGTTGCAATAGTTTTAGAGAAATTTTCATTTCTCCAGGCTAAATTTCTAGTGATTTGTCCGCACATCTGCTTTCACGGATTTGCTCACTTTCGTATAAATTTAGATTACATTTATCTCTAGTTTGCAGTTTAACCCTCAAACATACGTGGATTCTTTTTCCATTTTCGCCCTTCAAAAATAGTTTTGCGACCCGGTGGAGGAAAGAGGAATGACGCTCATTTCCGCACCGGTGTTTATCAAGAAATACACACCACTAATGGAGTCCCTAACGTGAAAAAGGCGGCTCCTAGTTCGTGTGCCAACGGCTGACGCCGTAATCAGTCGTCGGTCTAGTCTTTTCCCGAAGGAGGTTGACCTTTCCACGAGCACGGGTGGATACATTTTGCAGCATCCTTACCTAAGCTCGTGTGGTACCAACATAACTTCTGACTATTATTGGACGATTTAGACCTACGGCGACTGCTGTATTGTGGTTTTCCACTGAAACGGGCGCATCCAAACCTTCTGTCCGTGTTGAAATCACTACGTTTCTCAATGAAAGCCTGAAAGAAGCCGTCGACGGATGTGGCTGGAGGGATTGTGGTGGTAACCGCGGCGACTGAGGGTTGACGGTATTGCATGGCATGATCTGCCATAACCGTCAAACGCTCTATGAGCATGTCTTGCGCTGACGCAAGTAGGAATTGAACATCCTGCGGTAACGTTTGTAACCACAGCAAACGCGTCGTCATGGGGATATTGCTCATCTCGTTACACATTAGCCTAAAAAGCTGCGAAGGTTTGCGGTCGCTTAAAGGAGTATCCTGTAGTAGGCGTCGGATTCGCTCTTTGTTAGAGCTCCCCGTGCGTTCTAATATGGCGTCCCGTAGGGCTTTGAATGACCCATCTTCGGGTGGCTCTAAAACCACGTCCAAGATCTCGGCTACCAGATGTTCAGGCAGCGAGAAAACGACGTGATGAAACTTGGTCTTCGAAGACTTAATGTTCCTAGTCGCGCACTGCGATTCCCAAAGACAAACCACGCCCCAGGGTTGAATGCCCAAAAGGGAGGGGCTGGAATGTGGCGTCCAACTCGGGAGCGGGTTCGTCAGGTGAATCTAACAAATCCATGATAAAAATAAGAACAATGAATAATTGTATATAGAACATGCAATCCACAAACAACTCTATCAAAAAATTGAACAGTTCAAGCAGCGATAAATTGAAAGTACCAAAAGATAATCGCTAAAATTTTCTAAACGAATAGAAAATGGTTCAAAAATTCCAAAGATTAGGGACGGACTCACTAAAATCTGATGATTGCCAAAAATGAACCGGGGCAGTTGTATGCGGGCTCACCAATTTAGTGACCCGGTGGTTGCTGATGTTCGTCACAACCTGTCACTAATGTTTGTTCACGTTCGTTTTGAATATTCGTCCCAAAAGGAAACAAAACCAAAGATTGGGTTTGTGAAAAATGATGTATTCTGAATCTTCCGAAAGGTTGGAAGTAGGTTTGACTAGGCCTAAATTATTATTTAAGCAACGGCAGCGGAAACCTGAAAGTAGATCTGATCAATGCAACGAAAACGTGCAATACAGAGCTCACCATGGGGAATTTTGTCGGTGCACGCTTTCGAGCTCACGATAAGAACGAGAATAGTTAAAGCAAAAATTAATCCTGGAAATGTCCAAGTTGCCATATCTAATAAAGAAACTTTCCCTGGGACATAACTATCGCCGAATAATGGCGATAAATGCTAAATCTCAACGGTACACTTAATTGTGTCCGGTGGAGAAAGATCCTTAAGTATTAAAGAAAGACATAGCGGTGGTTTAACTACCTGATCGAGAGGCCAAATAGCTAATTGATATATGAACCTTGATGGTTCTACTAAGTATGCTACGGTTATGTAACCATGTCTTGATAATCCTCAATTATGCATGACAGGTTGGAAACTGAACCCGTCCGGTTGCTAATCACCAGTGTAAGGTGAAAGGGCTTCTGGCTTCGTAATTTGATGATCACGACCAGCTTGAATGGATCTATCAGGAAACTTGCAGAAGAACAAGAGGCAAGAAAAGACAACTGCTGTTGCGAAAATGTCGGTTGAAGAACCTCTACATTATTTTTTTATTATAAGTGCTATTCGATCATATTTTGGTAGCCCGTTCGA